GAAAACGGTGGTTGTTTCAAGTCTCTACGACTTTTCGTTCCGAAGATATAGCCTTCGGAAGATTTTCATTCATAATTTGTGTAGTACAGCTGTTTGTAGTAATAGTAGTAGTAGTAGTAGTAGTAGTAGTAGTAGTAGTAGTAGTAGGTTTGTGTAAATTCCTGGAATTTATATAGGTCAGGATATTACCGAGTCGTATTGAATGAAATTATGTAGGTCAGTGGGTTAACGTAAACGTATACCATTTAATTGTGAATATCTTTGGAACTAAAAGTCATAGCGACTTGAATCGACCATCATTTTAAAGGGCAAAATTTTTTTATTTTTTTTTCCTTCAATTTGTTGTTAATAATTCATAAACAATTTGTTATAAACAATTTGTTATGAATAAATTCTTACGAAGTAAATCCATCTTATTTTATGAAAAAAAAAAAAAAAAAAAAAAAATACAATTTAGACTGCTGCTAATTTATAAAATTACACGAATTAAGAAATAATTAATAAACAAATTACTTTAGTTTATAAAAAAAAAACAATTTGTTATAAACAAATCCATCTTATTTTGCTAAGAAGAAAAAAGAAAGCAATTCAAATTGCGATTGATTTATAAATTTAGATAAATTAAGAAATAATTAATAAACAAATTACTTTTGTTTATAAAAAAAAAAAAAAAAAAAAAAAAAAACAATTTTTATCTACATTTTCAATAATCACGGTTTTTTTTTATCAATGTTGGATTATCTTCGGAGCTAAAGATAATAGAAAATTGAAACAAATACGTAAAATAAGCGCATAATAAGCGCAGTATAATAAGTGCATAATAAGTGCAGAGTATATGCTGAGCAAACGCTTATAAATATCTTCTAAACTAATAATTTTTCGACATATATGAATTACTACTTTTTCTTTTCTTTTTTTGTTTATAAACAATATTGAACTGCATAGACCAATGCAATCAGAAATATATGATTCTATTGAAAAAAAAAAACAAAAAAACAAAAAAAAACAAATTACAGTTGACCTTCAAGCATTCATCTGCAGAAAAATTATTATTAAATAAAATTTCTCGATATCTTAAAGAAAAACGGAGACATTTAAGGTGATCAAAGTTATTGACCTATCCTGTATATTATATTTCTCTTTTCAATGAATGCTTTAGAACATAAAAAAAATATACGAAAAATTATAACTTTATAATAATAATAATAAGAAGAAGAAGAATAATAATAATATAATATATCTAACATATAGATATTTTATTTTTTGAAGAAATATATATGACAAACGATATGAAAGATATAAACTCCGAGAAATGCAATATTTCACTCAAAGTTTCCTAAGCTTATTCATGAAAGGAAAATTCTTAGCGGTTATAGGTGGGAAATGGATAACGTACGGCATAGTATTCGCGGTATTTTGTTCGATCAACGATATAATAATACGAGGAACGAATGGCGAACGCGATTACTGCCAGATAACGAGAATACCACGATAGGTCGACCATCGTGACCGCCGAATCCGTTTCTCCTTTACTGACCGCCAACTTCATTCCAATTCGAATTAGGTTGACCTCTTCAGATGTACGATTTTATTTAAGTTATAAACAAAACTATTTCATTTTTTATCCGTTAATATTACATTCATAATTAATAAACAAAATAAACAATAATTTCAACAGCATTAAAACTACATGTAATGTACAAAAGATTTGTAAAACAAAATGTAAAACAAAAAATATAAAACAAAATTACATATACATATATATATATATATATATATATATTATATATATATGTATTCGAATATTCGAATTAGGTTTACCTTTTAATAGGGACAATTTTATTGCAATTATAAATAAAATTATTGACATTTTTATTTGGTAATATTAAATCTATAGTTAATAAACAAATAAATAATTATTTTGAAAGCATTGATAGTATATATATATATATATATATATATATATGTATGTATATGTATATGTGTTATTTGGAATATTCGAATATATTAAATGTCGATAATTTAAATATTTTATTTGTTAACATAAAATTTTGTTAAATGTTCGATCGACTATAACACGAGAAAATTCGATGAAATTTAATGAGTAATGAAATGATCGATTTCTTCTTTATAATTTTACTATTGAAATAGAAAATAATGAGACATAGGTATATAAATGTGAACTAACGAAGAGAAAATTCTCATGGTTTCGAATGACGTAATTTCGTTATTCCTAGTTTAAAAACATTCGTAAGAACATAATATTAAATTCCAAGCTATCCACGTGAATTTACGTAATCGTCAATCAGTAAAGAAGTTTCATAAAAGATCTCGTTAACGATGATTCTGTCTTTATCTCTCTCTCTCTCTCTCTCTCTCACTCTCCTTCTCTCTTTCTTTTCAACATTGATTCTCTTTTAACGAATTTTATAATATGTTGTGTGATACTGATAGAAGAAAGAAATAAAAAAAAAAAAAAAAAAAAAAAAAGAAATAGAAAGAAAAGAAAAAGGAAAATAAATCCAACGCGTCTCTGTTTTAATTTTTTTTTCTTTTTTTTTTCTTTCTTTTCTCCTCATTATTCTTTTTTTTTCTACTCGTATCGAGATACACGATACGTTGTTAATCTTTCGATCTTTCGATCTTTCGATCTTTCGAAAAAAATAATTTGTCTAGCTTGATAACCTTGAAAGAAAACTTCGAGAAGATCGTGAAATATTCAAGAACGATATCGATCGGTATACGATGATATTAGATATATGTACGTTCAAGATTTATCAAGATGTTCGTACATATACTAATTACTGTAGATTTATTATTGTTAATAAATCATTTCAATTTAAATGAGATATAATAATGACTCAAAGAAAAAAAGAAATAAAGTACTCTATCATTCATATATCTGCATTTAACGTATGAATCAAAATTGATATGTACATTTATAATTATTAAATGATCGATCAATGGAAAAATTTGAATTTTAATGAGAAATTATAAAGATCATCGGATAAAATGATTTCGATCTATCATATTATCGATTTAATCATATGTTTGTATTTATCAAGATCTTCACGTATGATGAGTATATATTTATAATTATCGAACGATCGATCAGATAAAAGTTAAAAATAATAAAATTGATTAAAAAGAAAAAAAAAGGAAAATAAATAAATATATACAGATCTCGATCTATCGATCATTCGTATTAATCAAGATTTTCATTCATAAATCTGTTTATACATATTTTATACATATATATATATATATATATCAAAGATCAATCAAAACAATTATAGAATAATATATATATGTATAAATGTTAAAGGACAATGATTAGGATCTATCGATCGGTTTTTAATCGTCAATGTCATGACAACGTGTTTGCTTACCCAACAGTGACGTCGAAGATGTTGCTACCGACAGAACTAGATACTGCCATATCACCGAATCCCTTTCTTGCGACGATGACGCTTGTGATGAGATCGGGAATACTGGTACCGGCAGCCAGGAACGTCAGGCCCATCACTTCCGGTGGTATACGAACGGTATCACCAAAAACGTTCGCCCACCAGACCATCAGGTACGAGTATCCAGCTATCCACACGATTGACCCTATGAATGTTACCGCGAAGAATTTTTTTCCTAAAAATCGAAATAAAATCGACGTTACAATGTTATTGTTAAAAAAAAAAAAAAAAAAAAAAAAGGCAAACATTTTTTTATGAAATCCATAAAAAATTAAAAATTTTCTTTTTTTTTTTATCGTAAGATAAATATTATAGTAAGTTTGATTTAAATTGAAAAATATTATTTGATCGTAAGATATGTGTTATATTGAATTTGATTGAAATTAAAAAATGTTTCATTCGCAAAATAAATGATATAGTCAATCGTTAGAGATATTGTTATTACATCGAATTGTTATTAATTTGTGATAATAATAAAGTATTCTTAAATCATTGAAATTTATTCGATATAAATTTTTGACACTTTAGAAATTAAATTTTGTATATGTTAAATAAACAATATATTAAACGTAACAATATCGATATGTCAATATTAATAGTTATTGATTCTTACGTGATTGATCAACTTCTCTTTTATTTTTCTTTTTTTTTCCCCCGCTTTTTAATTGTATAACTTTTATATTTGCTGTTAAATTGTTCAAATTTCAGCCGTACTGAACTTTAATTACTTATTGTAAATTGGGATGAACAATACAGTTATAGATTTTCATATGACTGATGGTATAATAATTAATTGCTATTATATATAAGTGATTGATCAACTACGTTTTAAAATGTTAAAATTTGTAATTTAAATGTTTTCAATTTCTTTAAATTCGACTGATCGAACTTTACGGACTTTTACAAATATAAATTTGATGCAGAATAAACGATTCAATTATTGATTCTTACATGATCGATTAATTGTGAATATTTTCAAATGTTGTTGTTAAATTCTTTGAATAAACCGAAGTATCGAAATTGAAAGACTTTGAAAATTAAATTTTATCAATGATAAACGTTATAGTTATTAATTATTATTATTATTATGTATACACGATTGATCAAGCTCTTTTTAATTGATAATATTTCTAATTTTGTTTCTAATATTTGAATATTAAAAATTTTTCTAATATTTCAATATTAAAATAATAATATATATTCTAATATTTTTAATTGATAAAATTTTCATTTCAAATAACCGATGAAATTATTAATTGTTCAATGATTATACATAATTAGGCAAAATCATTCGTACAGATTATTTCCAATTATATAATTTACTCTCTTAAATAAATAACATATAACTGAAAAGAAAAAGAATTTACTTTTTTAAATTATTCTTTCTTAAAATCAATAGATTTATCCAAACGATTATCAAAGAGATTTAAGACATAAATATCATAAATATTATAAATTTAATATTTGTCGATCATATATTATCGTTTGTTTCATTCGATATAACATAACATAAACGATAAATAAAATTTCTTCGCACATTATTTCAACTCATAAGTTACATATACATATATATATATAATACATAACATATATATATAACATATATATATATAATACATAACATATATATATAACATATATATATATGTACATTACATAACATATATATATATAACTTAACATTTCCTTAACAGTATGTGAAATGTAATTCATGTCGATCCTAACGACCACAATCATTTCTCGAATGGACCATTCACCGAGCGTAACCTTTTTCTTCGAAATCCTTACAATAAAGTACGAAGAAAATATCAACTGAAATCAGTTTCCGATGATGCGCATTTCGTTCGAGGTAAATGGCGATCGGTTATTCGAACGATCGAAAAGAGAGAGAGAGAGAGAGAAAGAGGGAGAGAGAAAGAGAGGGTGAGAGAGAGGGTGAGTAAAGAAGAAAAAAAACTAATCGCACTTGAGGACTCCTAATCTTTCGGTAATCTAATCCGATCCCTCGTTCGAATACTCGTTTGTCAATCTCTTTATCGAACTCGTTTTACCGACAGAAAAAGGAGAAAGAACTCATCATCGATTTCTTTTTTTTATCTCTAAAAATTCCATTTCAAATTTGCACATTCTTTTTTTGTCTCTTTATCCCTCTCTCTCTCTCTCTCTCTCTCTCTCTCTCTCTTTCTCTCACTCTCTCTTTTTCTCTATTTGTTATACTTATAAAGAAAAGATCTAGAACTCGATATCTTGTTTTTATTGATCAGTAAAGAAATACTCTTTTGGAAAAGATTGAAAAGGGCTATGAAGGTACATATATATATATATAGTAGTAGGACGTGATTCATTGGACAATTGAATAGATACACACAATACGTCGATCAGGGCAACAATCAGTCGACGATTTGAAATTAGCGCGTCAATATCATCTTTCGTCGCAAGCATTGTATCACTTTGAAATACTGTGGCAGTTAATAGACCCCGCAGATAATGCATCGTTCCGATGCATCTATCCTTGATTGATATATATATATATATATATATATATATATGTGTGTGTGTGTGTATGTATGTACGTATGTAATGTTCGGAAAACGAGAATTAAATTTCATATTTCAGTTTAAATCTTTATTGCAATGCCACCTCGTATAACAACTTTCAATTTGTTCGTATTAGCTCATTATTATATTTCGTTTTTTTTAATTAATTAATTAATTTATTTTTTGTCTTCTTTTTATATGTTTTCTTTTACTTTTTTTTTTTTTTTTTTTTTTTACTAAAATAAAAAAAGAAAAACGTAATTTGTCAGTTCATACATTTGAAGGTTAATAGTTATACCAGATATAACTTATAGATTTAATTTGTAAATTATGCAAATGTAATTATATTTGATATAAGTTGTTTTAATATGAGTATACTAACAAAAGTAGTAGTATAATTATAGTATAATTTATACTAGTTTAATATTATCAGTTTATTTACCGTAAAATTTAAGTTAATTTATAAGTTATTTACTGGCATAGATACGTAGTTATGTCTACTATAATTATATTAGTTATATCAGTTTATAATTTATACAGAAAGTGTCATAAGTTTCTTTGACGATTTTAAAAATCAATTACTCTTTTACGTGACATTTTGGGCATGTAGTTAGACATGTAATTTTACAAGCTTGTTTTACAAACATAAAAGTAATTAATATAAAAAGTTTCAAAAAGAAATAATTAATTTTTAAAATCATCTTGAAAATTTTTAGACTCACCTAAAGAATTCTGTTCCATCCTATATTAGTTCAGTATTATCAGTTCGTATGTTCTTTCTCGTACGTACACACACACATATATACATACACACACACATACGCGCGCGCGCGCGCACACACACACATACACATAACTAATATAAGTTATATTATAAATTTCGCGTACTATCTTTTTTAAACATGAAAAAAAAAAGAAGATTATAGAAGGATTAACTCGGTAACGAAATATATGATGATAAATATCTTGAAACGTATGATACTTTAAAACCTTTTTTGCATCACGAATATCTTCAATTAAATTTCTGATAAAAAAAAAGAAAAAAAAGATAATTCGTTAAGTTCAATTATGATTTCTTAAAAAATTGGTGGATTATCGAAATTTAATTTTTTACCTTTCTCATCGTCTCTCTCTCTCTCTCTCTCTCTCTCTCTCTCTCTTTTTCTTTCTTAGTCTCTATCTCTCATTCTATCTCATAACCTTTCCTTCACATTTTTTCTCGCATAAAACCACCCCATCTCAATATTACTCGCTATATATTCTCTATCTTCCTTCCACCACTAGATCCTAACAATTTGCTATAGCAAGCGTAATAAAAGACGTTAGCCACGTGCACTCTACTTAATCGAGTCTTTATTCGATTATTTCGAGGCTCGAAAGCTTATATCTTAGACATTATTATTATTATTAATATTATTATTATTATTATTATTATTATTATTATTATTATCATTATTATATTTAAAATAATATTAAAGTATCGATTCATTATCAAAAATATCTAAGCCTCTCGTTGTAATATTATAAGTATTATTTTTCGTTTTTTCTTTATAATAAATCATTAACATTGAAATTTCTTTTATATCATATTTTAATTTATAAAAGTCTCAGAAAAAAAAAACAAGAAAACAGAACGGAATTATTTACTAATTTTTAAACGATTTTGAATATATATATATATATATATATATATATATATATATATATATGCACATGAAAGAAATTAATTTACCTCTGGGTGTTCGTGTGTCTGGTAGAGTTAACCATAGAGGAAAGAGAATCGGTGCTACTAATATATAAGTTAGCCTCTTTTTAGGACTACTAGGCCAGCCCATGTCCAAGGCTTCTGGAGGCTCATCCTCTTCGCCCTGAAACAACATAAGAAGAAACATTTTTCTTTCTTTTTATTTTTGTTTCCTTTCATTCTTTTTTTTCTTTTTTTTTTTTTTTATTTCTTTCATATCTTCCTCCAACTTTTATTCTCATCATTCTATCTAGAATAATTCAATCACGTTGGATCGTTAACGTGACGTCTACTGAAGACCTCGTGGTCGTCAGTCAAACTTTTATCATTGAGAGTAACACACACTCTCTCTCTCTCTCTCTTTCTCTCTCTCTCTCTTTTTCTCTCTTTCTCTCTTTTTCTCTCTTTTTGAATGACAGAGAGAGAGAGAGAGAGAGAGAGAGAGAGAGAGAGAGAGAGAGAGAGAGAAAGAGAAAGAGAGAGAAGCATCATGGTGTATTGTTAGAAAACACAATAAACTTGACGCTAGGGATAAGCTTCGAAAAACTGCAATCCGCGGCACAGGCACAAAGAGAGCCCGTCCCCCCCACCCCTCTGCTCTTATTCATCCTTGGATAAACCTACTACAATAGGTTGTGTGTGATTTTACTTGAATTCTCATGACTACTTCTCTTGTTTCTAAACAAATGTTTTAATCAACTGAGATACTCGAGTAAGGCACAGATAAGAGTTCTCTCATTCTTATCCAAAATGATTTAATCATAGACGATTTCCGATAAACAATGGATGAGAAATATTTTTGACCTTATCTAACTTGTTTGAAATTCAAATTAATCCATGTTAGAAATTTTCTTAAGTGACACATCGATTAAAACGATATCGAGATATTTTACTTTCTTTCTTTTCTTTTTCTTTTCTTCTTTTTTCTTTTCGTTTCTTTTTTTTTTCTTTTTCTTTTTTTTTTTTTTGAATCAAACAGAAGAAGACGAAATGATCGTTTTGGCATTTCTATCATCGATTTTATTTATTTATTTATATATTTACTTATACAATTTTTTTTTTCTTCGTTCAATAATATTTCATATAATCGAAGGTAATTTATTTAAGGATTTTATAATCGGACGTGAATTATTTTCTTTTCTTTTTTCTTTTCCTTTTTTTTTCTTTTTTCTTTTTTTTCCTCGTATGTTTGAACATTTTCTTTTCTTTCTCTTTTTTTTTGAAATAAATATATGTCGTATATATCTTGCTAAAGAGCTAAAGTGTTGTGAAATTGCGAGATGTTTCTAGATATGTTGAGATAGAAAGAGAAGGAGAAGGAGAGAAAGAGAAAGAGAGAGAGAAAGAGAGAGAGAGAGAGAGAGAAAGAGAGAAATATTTTAGTGGTGAACACGTGTACTCATTAAAGCGACCAAAATTGTTACATTTCTCTCTACACTTAGTGCTTTATAACACGAGGAGCAGCAATTACGCACGCGGAGACGTCGTTCGAAGGTAGGTAACGACGTGCACTGGATGCACGTGTTCGTATTCAAACCCGTATAAAGTAATTTCACTAGAAAGACCTATGAAGTATATTAAATGGAATAAAGAATTATTACAAGAACCGTACAATGTCTGATGTAATATTTTTCAATGTTCCGTTTTCTTCGTTTCTTTCCTTTTTATTATTTTTTCTTTCTTCTCTTTTTTTTTTTTCTTTTTTACATTTTCCGATTTTTTTTTCTCTTTCTTTTTTTTTTTTTAATTTATCTCCTATATCATGAAGCATATGCATATTTAGAAATTAAATTAAACAGTTAAAGATTAGTTCCGCACAAATCGTAAAATAACATTAGGTAATCTTTCGATCTCTCTCCATTTATTATTTTTACAAGATAGATGTAACATTTATTGTAATAAAAATTCAAGAGAAACGAAAGATTAGTGAAACACAAACTGTATGAAAAAAAAAAAATATATATATATATATATATTGTTTTTATTTCTATTCTTTTTTTTCTTTTTTTTCTTTTTTACGAGACAGATAAAGAATCGAAACGAAAAATTATAAGTAATGAAAGATTAACGTTCGTAAAAAGAATTTAATGCAATTTTCAAAAAACTCTTGAACTTATTTCTATACAATAAACAATGTCTTATTTAGAAACGCGAGATAAAGGAAAAGAAAAAAATGAAAAAGTTCGCGACGTGAATTGGAAAAATTTTAAACAATGATTTTCATTAAAAAAAAAAAAAAAAAAAAAAAAAAAAAAAAAAAAAAAAAAAAGAAACAGAGAAAAAGAAAAAGACGAAATATAACAAAACAAAAAACAAAAAACAAAAAAAACTAAACGAAGAACCAAGAGATTGGTAACAAAAGCTATAAAAAAGAAAAGTGATCATATAATTTGTCTTACGAAAAATTGAAAGAATTAAATAGAGATCTATCCATTAATCTTTTAATATCTTAGAAAGTAGAAATGTGATGAAATGAGAAGGGGAGGGTCATAGATCGAAAATGACCGTGGAAGAGAGTGAGTATATATATATATATGTATGTGTGTGTGTGTGTGTGTATATCGTTTTTGTAAAATCCGGAATTCGAGTGGAAAACCCGCCGGCTGGTGACTTCGCAACGAATGTTGGTAAGAGTAGAAAAAAAATAGCAGTGGTAGTACTAGTAGTAATACTACTACTATTACTAGTAGTATTATTATTACTACTACTACTACTATTAATAGAAGAGTGCAAGTTGCAACAAATGCAACGTAGAAAATAGGAGAAGGGAGAAAGAGAAAGAGAAAGAGAAGACAATTTTGTTGGTGTAGGTTGATGTAGATTGGTGGATGATGGTAGTGTTGCCGGTTGGAGAAGGGTGTAGCCAGCATTGACCTAGATTCCGCGGTGCATTCAAAATGAAAAGGCCTTTTCGCTCATTTAGGACAAAGCGGCCGGAGGATCTCTGCCATCGGCACCAACCTGAAACCAGCAGCTAATATCAAGCCGAAAAAGATTTGGCCGGTCGATTTTTAGCCGTGAAAAAAAGCAAGAGCTTCGTTCCTCTTCGAACCGATTCTAAAGAAGGGGGCGAGGAGAGAAAGTAAGAGAAAGAGAGATATATATATATATAACGAGAGAACGAGTTAGAGAAAAATATTTGGAGAAGGAGAAAAAAAAGAGAATGTTTCTCGAATTAAAATTGTGATTAGGATTTATGTTTGTTCATGAAATCGTCGATTTTTAAAAATAGATTCAATATTCTTCTGGTAATCTACCAATTTATCTCTCTTTTCCTCTCTCTCTCTCTCTCTCTCTCTCTCTTTCTCTCTATCTTTCTCTCTTTTTTTTTCATATTTCTTATTAAAAGATATTCGAACATCGTCTTTGAATTTAATATTAAATCATATCTCATAGATGGTCCATAAAAGAGACAAAGAGGTGGCATAGTTTAGAAATAAAATTTTACAGGAAGCCTTCGGATTTCTCTTGAAATTCCAATTCTTTTTCAAGTATAAGAGTAAACTGGAATATAGCGAAACGCGAAGAATAAGGCAACAGCTGTGTGTTCTTCCTGAAATAAATCATAAGGATTACATATATATATATATTACATATATATATGTAATATATATATATATATATATATATATATGTATAATATAATCGTGTATATACGTATAAACTTTCTAACTGAAACAAAGACAATATCATACATAATCTTCCTTCGGTGAAAATAAGAAAGTAACGACAGATAATAGAGAAAAATTCTAAATCGTTTAACTAAAGACATGGATTGAATTTATAGATTTGACTGTCGTCAAATAATATATTTCTTGTTAGCGTCACCATGATCTATAACGAATTACTCGATATTTGATTTTTCATCATGACAGGTTTGACAATTTTAATAGGATCTGATAAACAACCCAGCAAAGACAGGGACCGATATCGGTCGTTACGTTTTTACAATCACCAACTGTCATACGCTTTTCCCTGAGGAAACTCACAGAAAGAGATAGATAGATAGATAGATAAATAGGTAGATAGATAGGTACATAGATATGTATGTATACGTGTACATATATATATATATATATATATATATATATATAATATACATACTATATATGTATAGAACATAGTTGCTGTCTATTCGCGAAGCAGATAAAAATTTATCGATCTTTCTCTCGTACCCTCCTTTTTTTCCAAGTAACAATTGTACATACATATATATATATATATATATACATATACATATATAATACATACATACATATGTATATACTATATTGTACATACATATGTACGTACGACTCTTTACGTCATTCGTCGTCGTTATCTAAAAACCTATTGAACGTTTTCTTCCGAGGCAAATGCTTTTTACGTAGGCCTCGCACGCTTCGTGAACACGAAGACGAGAAACCCTATTCAAGAATTTCTTTCTAATCATTATTTAACAATCGTCATGACATCATTCTTAAAAAGGTAAATCAATTTATTCGATTAAATCAATATAAAGAAATATTATATTTATTTTTGTATATTTGTATCTCTATTTCTTTTTTCATTTCTTTTAGTTTTTTCTTGTGTCTTTGTCTTTTCCTTTTTCTCATTTCTCTTCTTTCCGTCCTTTCTTTTCCCTTTTTAAAGTCAACATTGCAGACAATAATTATTATAACAATTATAAGAATCTATAAATCTTTTTATTTTCTCTCTTATTCATTCTCTTTCTTTCTTTCTTTCTTTCTCTCGCTCTCTCTCTCTCTCTCTCTCTTTCTCTCTCTCTTTTTTCTTATTTCCCAAATCGATATATGTATTTGCACTTGTCCTTAGTATCTAAGTAGTACAAGGACAATATTGACCAGACAACATATGCTCCTTATCGATACTTCTCTGATTAATGTTTTCAGAAATTAAAAACAAAAAAAGAAAAAAAAAAAAAAAGAAAAGAAAATATTAAAATAAAAAAGGAAAAAAGAAAAAACAAATAAAACAGAACAAAGGAAATCCATTCGAGTTTTGTTAATAAATTAACAAAATTCTTCATCAATCTTTTTTTAATTGAAAAATTAAATCAAAATAAAAGAGAAGAGAAGAGAAAAGAAGAAGAAGAAGAAGAAGAAGAAGAAGAAAAAAAAGGAATAAAAAATGAAAAATAAAAAAAACGAAATATCCCTTTGATACGTTGATAAGTACCGACGATTAACGTGAAAGTACTCCCGTTCGGTTGCTCGATATAAAATGAGAATAATTGACTAGAGAATTCTAAATGCATTTTATCGATCGTTCGAAAAAATGTTAAAGGGCTGAGAAACGAGCGATTATAGCTCGTAGCTCGAACCATTCTTTATATCTCGTAGTAACGCATTTCCTTATGAGAAAAAAATAGAGACAGAGAGAGAGAGAGAGAGAGAGAGAGACGCACACACAGAGAAAGAAAAAGAAAGAGAACGAGAGAACGAGAGAGAGAGAGAGAGAGAGAGAGAGAGAGAGAGAGAAAGAGAGAGCACTCTCACGCAACATCGAGAAAGATATCAAGAGTTTGACGTCAAACGATGCTCTCGTTTGCGAATAACGAAGCATTCTCCTCCTCTTCCTCCTCTTTTTCCCCTCCTCCTAACAACCTCCTCCTACTCTTCATACATAACGCAGTTTAAAAATAAGTTTACTTTTAATGCCTTTCAATTTGACCCAATGACCTCGTTGTCGTTAGCAAACGAATAAGCGAAGTATCCTATCCCGTTAATCTTCCTCCCCCGTCTCTAACTCTCTTCCCCTCAACATTTTAACCTCCCTTTTTCTTTAACTTCTCCCTTCGCTATCATCTTCTCTCTCTTTCTCTCTCGGTCTCTTTTACCAATCCACCTTCATATTTCTACATACGGTATAAGAAAGAAGAAGAATGAAGATTGGTCACGTGAGACATTACGAAGGATATTTTAAGGAAACAGGAAGGAAGGAAGGAAGGAAGGAAGGAAGGAAGGAAGGAAGGAATGTTAGCAGGCGGGAAAACTATTCGAAGTACGTACTGATTGATGACATATACTGGGTGTCCTAGTTCGATCCTATAACGATTTATTAGAAAGCTATGCGCATTGTCTGATGTAATTAATCTCGGATCTTCGATTAAAATTTCAATGATTTATTTTTGGTCGCATGGAACTGTTGCGTGTAAGGGAAAGACAAAGAAAAAAAAAAAAAAGAAAAAAAAAGAAGAAAAAAGAGAAAAAAAGAAACGAATGAAAACAAAAGTATCGGGAAATAGAAATGAGTTACAAAAAAAAAAAAAAGAAAAAAAAAAAGAAGAAAAGAGGTCAAATCGTAAATTCATTGGAGATCTATCAAAAAGTCGGATAATAATTATTTTAGAGATAAAACTTTTATTTTTTTAAGCCTTAGCAGTATAATTATATATATATATATATATATATATATATATATATATATATCGTGTGTTTGTTCTCTTCTTCTTCTCTTTCTCTCTCTCTCTCTCTCTTCTCTCTTTCTCTCTCTATTTTTCTCTATCTCTTTCTCTCTCTATCTCTGTCTCTCTCTCTCTCTCTCTCTCTGATTTATTTGATTTTTTTTTTGCTTTTATACACATGTACTTTAAATAAAACTGTTTCTCTTCGAATGTTTCGTTTGATCGACCAAATGAATCCCTTTAAAGACCTTTAAAGTGCAAAGTATTAAATAAATAAAAGTTTAAACTTCAAAAAAAAAAAAAAGAAAAAAACAGAAAACAAAGAAAAAAAAACAAAAAAGGAAAAAAGAGAGAAAAAAGGAAGAAGAAACGATTACTAATTAAATAATAGTATTTAAATATAAATAAATAAATAGTATATAATAATAGTGTATAAATATAAATAGTGCTTGGATTATTAAATCAGAAATAATTTTCTTCAGCTTATAGTTCGTCGTTTGCTAAAGATAAAATATATTGATATGTAAAACGATTAGAACAAATTATTGACACCCGGTATACATCTAAGAATTACCGATTCGAGGCCGGCGTCGAGACCGGCGGCTATACCGCCGTTTGGAAGTTCCTGAATGCCAGCTGTGGTGCCAGCAGTGGTAGTTGTCGTGGTGGTGGTCGTTGTGGTACCCTGAGAACCCTGTTGAAGTTGTAGGGTAGTCTCCTTGGAGGATGCACCGGAATAATGGGCCGCTGTCGAGGTCGCAGCACCGTTGTGAGGCCTCGTTGCATCCAGTAGCACCTTCAAAGACGCTATCGCGTGCAGCTGCGTTGCTTTTTCGTCCACCTTACCTAAATAATGTACAAGAATGTTGCAGGTTAATAAGAGCGGAGTGTTAACATACCCCATCCCCACCCCAACCCTCTACAACAGTGTTTTTCATATTGTCTATTAATCGTCATCGATAAATTTATTAGTCGATAAAAGAGATAGAAAAAATATATATGCTATTTGCATTGTATTTTTTTTCCTCTCTTTTTTTATTTTTATTTTTCTTTTTTTTTTCTTTTTATTATAGCCATAACAATCTTATATCCGGACAGTTCGAAGGAAACATACGTAGGTATTATTTAAGAATGTAATTTAAGGATTGACATCGAAAAAAAAAAATTTTATCAATTAAATCGGTATTCTATCTCATTAGAATTAGTTTATATTAGTTTATAGTTTGATAGAATCTTTATATTTTTTTTATCTTTCTTTTTTTCTTTTTTTTTTTTTTACAATACCTCTTAAAAAGATCACTTCTTTTCTAATATTTTTGACATAAATTTTCATTATGATCTTCCATGTTTTATAATAACGAGTTAGACAAACTGAAAAATATTGTACTACTATATTACTCTAATCTACTCAAAACCTACCCTCGCGATTTTTATTGATATCAATATCAATCGCTTTAATTATGCTACCTACAAGGCCCCTTATGTTGTTAAAGGCATGCTAGGAAAAGCCATGCAAAAGCTAGCGACCGATGTAAAATATATGAAAATGATTGCCACGGTCATTATGTAAGTACTAATTATAATTTCGTTTTATTTTAATCGATATTGAAATTTCAATGAACATCCCAATATATTTACTATATCTGTCGAATATTCTTTTTTTCTTTTTTTTCTTTTTAATAATTATTAGATCAATTAATTAAAACTTTGCCACTTCAACGAATACCCATATATATATATATATATATATATATATATATATATATATATATTTTAATAATTTTTGATTCAACATTTTTATTTTCATCAGAAAAACTTTAGAAAAGTGTAACACTTCTCATTCTAATTAATGTATTGTTATGATTGTTAATTATTTAGACAAATAATAAAAAAAAAAACTGTTAATATATTAATAATTATGAAATAATGAAAAGTAGGATAATTCATATAAATTTGTTAAAATAGCAAAATGTTAATGCAATTTCTTTCGATGTTATGCTCAAACGAACGTGTCACTTGTCTACGACTTATGGCAGCATGCTACGAGAACGACCGATGCTTTCCACGCGAACGACGTTTAGGTTTCATCCCTTACGATCGGATTAACTCGCTTGAATCGTTTCGTCCAAAGTGTGCAAAGCTTTATACTTGTTTGTTTGCTTGCTTGCTTTCTCCTAAATCCTGTTTAGAAAAAATTATTTTCGATAAATAGACATGACGATCAATGTCGAAAAATGATCTGACAATTAATTTTAATTATTAAAATATTCGATGCATTAGAATTATTCGAATTATTCTACGAATTTGATAAGACAAATATCGAAGAATTTAAAATTGTTAAAATGTTTGATATTAAAATAAATTAAAATTAGTAAATTGTAGAGATTAACGAATTAGAATTATCAAACGTATTAGCATTAGAATTATTAGATATAATTAAGAGATATTACTACCGTTAATTGTTCAAACATTTGTAATATTACCAATTATTAGTACTAGTTACAAAAAAAAATAAAAAGAAAAGAAAAAAAAAAGATCTAACATATTAAATCATTATTATCGGTTGATTATTAATGTTATATTTATAAATGACAAAGCAGAGCCCTCGTAATGTCCCTTAACGCATTAAAGGTCCAAGTTCTCACGATAAGACACATGTAGACGATATATATATGTATATAAATACGAATTGATCGATGTATGAATACCTATTGAGAGTCCTACTTTAATTAGTTAAACTCGAGAAACGACGGCACTTTTGCGTCTCTTTCGCTTCTAAATTTGTAACCACGTTCGTCCTTTAATCACGAGTTAACTCATTTACACGTGAACTGTCGATTATCGTTCGACCGACCGGATATCCAGCATCGTTTTAACAATATCCCTTTTCCGACTAATTGCTAAAAGCCGTTTCGTATGGACGTTGTTCAAGCGTAAAAATGAATTATAAAGTTATAAAGACGATACTTAGAATAAATATCTAATTATACATATACATATACACGCACACACACACACATACACATATATATATATATATGTCATGTATGAATCAGAGAAATTAATATTGAAAAATGATATTAAATTTTCGAATGAATATTTCTTTATCATATTTAATTTCATATTCATACGTATCAAATCGATGACAATAAATTAATAGAAATTTTGTCATACTTTATATTTAAATAAATAAACAATCAATTCAATACATTTTTGTTAACACTTTTCTCAATTTCTCGTTGGTTAGATCTTAAAAAAAAAAAAAAAAAAGAAAACAAATCTTTAACTCACATTAGGATCGTTCAATTTTTATGAATATTTGTAGGTTCAGTATTAGATAACAATGGTTTAAACAAATTCATTATCAATTAAAACCAAAAAACAAAAATCTTTGAATATTTCTTTCATTAATAATACATAGGTCTGTATATATATATATATATATATATATATATATATATATATATATATATCTATATATATATACAGACTATATATATATATATATATATATATATATATATATATAAACATCCGATAATATATATATATATATATATATATATATTATCGGATGATTTTGTTTTTATCAACTAATGTATTGTTTATATATATATATATATATATATATATATATATATATATATATATATTATCGGATGATTTTGTTTTTATCAACTAATGTATTGTTTCTAATTAATAAGAAAAGAGTATGCCAGTATGATCAGATGATACTCACTCGTTGATAATCCTGTGTATATAATTTCTTTTAATAAAGAATAGAAATCTCTCTCTCTCTCTCTCTCTCTCTCTCTCTCTCTCTCTAGCGTCGAAGAAAATTTATTTTTAATAAGATATCTAATTTTCTTAAAGTTTCATCCGATTGTATTCGAGTATACGACCTTGTAACTATCAGCCCTATTCTATTCAACATTCTCGTGTAACACGTGTCGAAGAATATCGAGGATACTCTACTTTCAGTTCGCTTCTCTCATGGAACAACTGTAAGAAGTTTCGAATTTGTCAGTTACTATGACTCGTTCAAGCTTCATCCAATCCTTACTTTGCTAAAAGAAAAACAATCTGAGAGAAAGAGAGAGAAAGAGAGAGACAGAAAGAGAGAAAGAGAGAGAGAGAGAGAGAGAGAGTGAAGAAGAAAAGAGAAATCAACGATGCGAGAAGGAAATGCTAAAGAATTCTGACGTGTTTGAACAACGTGAAAATATCTTAAAATCGCACAATACAGTTCTATACATAGTTTCAAATGTATCGACATTCTGAAAATATTCCTTAATGCTTTTCCCTGATCCTATAAAGATCGTCGAAAATGAATAATTTTTTGAACGATGTTTCAATTCGTGGATTGTTGAAATACAAACAAACAAAAAAAAAAGAAAAGAAGAAAGAAGGAAGGAAAAAGAAATGGACTTATTAATGTATCTTAAGAACAAATCGATGTAGAACACACACTCAGAGAGAGAGAGAGAGAGAGAGAGAGAGAGAGAGAGAGAGAGAGAGAGAAAGAGAAGTTCTTTGTATTGTTCTTTAAAGAGCTCGAAAAGGTATCTAATTCGCCAGTTACCCTTCCTTGTAGAAGTTTCGACCAATCGCACATCCGGCCAATCCTTGTTGAGATTGGTGGTGGTGGTAGTGGGTGGTGTTGATAGTAGTAATGGCAGTGGTAGTAGTGGTAGTAGTAGTAGTAGGTCAAACACAAAAAGCCAACGTGAGAGTGGCCTTCATCCCTGAAGGTATGAACGAGGCGAGAAAAGAAAGACGTAGAACTCTAGTCAAGATGGCAAAGCACGATGAACATATACATATATACATATATATATATATATATATATATATGTATGTATGTACATGTATAATATGTGTATACATATATACAACATATATGTTTGTATTTATGTATATGTTTTGTATCGACTTCTAAGTTTGACGAAAAAAGGAAAAAAAAAAAGACAAAGACGCCGAGAGAAAGACAGAGACAAAGAGAGAGAGAGAGAGAGTGATGAGAGAGATGAGAATGAGAGATAAAAAAGAAAAGGGTTAACACGTCTTTCGAACAAGAAGAATATGGAGCTTGATAAAAATTCGAGATTCTAAATCTAAGGAATTAAAAAAAAAAAAAAAAAAAAAAAAAAGAAAAGAAAGAAAAAAAGAAAAACAAAAGAGAAAAGAAAACGAAAGGGAAAGAAATTAAGAAAGTGACGACGACTAGTTGATTAACGAGAAGGAAAAATTAATTAAACGAAGAAGACGTAACGTTTCCTCCTCCTCCTCCTTTATCTATTTTTTCACTTTTTTCTTTCCTCCTTCTTCTTTTTTTTCCTTCGAGAGAGAGAGAGAGAGAAAGATAGAGAATCGTTAGTCGCATTTTCTCAAGCACTCCGACAAGCGAGAGGTAAAAAGTAATTGGATTTATTAGCACGTTCTCGAGCCGTTCTCACGTTATTTTCGTCTTTATTTTCTGTAACGTAATATACTTCTCACAATGATGACGACAGGTATGATCAAAGGAACCTTGAAAATATCGTTTCCTTGGTTAATGATAAATATTGTTTTAACCGACATCCGATTCGATCCCTTTAGTAATTATAGATAATCCTTACTCGAAGATGGTTGATTCTCAACTGACAAATGTCCTCTTATCGTGTATTATAAGACAGATGAGGAATAACATTTCTCTCGAGTCGATGAACATATATATATTCTTCTATTTTGATATTACTCATATACTACGTATTTACGTTAGGTTGGTATATCAATGACATAAACATACGTAGAAAATAAACACAATTGTGCGAGTGGATTTCAATGTTATTAAATTCAATTATAGG